TCCATCGGTTTGGCGCAATCGGAAACCGCATGCTGGCCCAAAATCCTTCCAGGGGTCATTGGGCCGGCTAAATATAAGGACTCTGGGGGAGGGCTGACCAGAGACACATTTTGCTTCTTCGTCACTGTTCAAATCTAGAGCGCGCAAGCTAGTTATCCCCCTTTGCTGACGTTCACTGTACCATTGCCCTACCAAACTTGCACCCTACGCATAGATCATCTTCCCTGCTAGTCTGATACGTCATGGCTTCACTGTCTCCTGTACAGGATGGCATCAAGCAGGTAACGCGGAAGGAATTATACACCGATTTCAGTAAACGGATGGACTTTCTGCGGTTGTTCCTGGACTTCACAGACGGTATGATCTAGTCTGCTGAGGGACGAGCCAGAGTACTGATCGCTGGCCAGATGATATTATCGTCTTCAACAAAGGTGCCAAGTTTCTCAAGGCGGCCTTACCAGTTCTCACTCACCGTCTATACGCGAAAATGCTCGACTTCGACATAACAGCCCGCGCCTTGCGGGTTCGAAGCACGGAATCCGAAGCCCAAGTCGACGAATACTTCACTCTGGACGGTCCGCACGTGCAGCGGAGGAAGATCTTCTGGAAGTGGTATTTGACCCGATTATTTTCCGACCCCAGCCGTCTCGAATATTGGGAGTACCTGGATAAGGTTGGGTAAGTCTACTGAGCTGATCTCCTCATGCAGACCCTCGTGAACAAAGTCGGGCAAATGTACTGATTCCATGTTGGGGATTCAGAAAGATGCACACAGGTAAAATCTTGATGCACCCACTGAAGATCGAGTACATGCATATGAACACGTGCCTGGGGTACGTCAAGGAGCTCGCATACGAGACCATATCCGGACATCCAGAGATGTCGTATCCGTTCAAATTCGCTCTGATCAGAGCGCTTAACAAAATCATGACCATCCAAAACGACTTGATTTCGAGGTGTTATATTCGCGAAGGCCAAGAGTTTGACCATCATTCTCCGAACCCAGTTGAAGCGCCGCCCACGGGCGGACCGCCGCCACACACCGACACTGGATCGAATCCCGACACTTGTGTTTCAGACACCAGGTCCACCGCAGATACCCGATCTAGCACCGATTCCCGATCTATCCCCGACTCCCGATCTTACGCGGACATTCAATCCAACCCGGATGTGCGGTCGATACCCGAGACCAGGCCAGACAGTGGTGGTGGGTCGACCGCCGAGACGGGATCTATTGCAGAGTCTCGATCCAATGCCGACACGTGTTCCATACCGGATTCCACCACAAACAGCGAAACATCTTCCATGGCGAATGAGAGGCAGCTTCATCCCCGGTGCTTAGTCCCTGGTCTAAGCCAATCGAGACCCACTTCCTCCAAAGGGTCAGTCCCCGGTCTACGAGATCGCAGCGCCAGTTTCGATTTATCGCGGGTACGAACGGCCAGTGACTCAATAAGCTCGTGCGATCCCCCGTCCACGGCGGGTAGTAGCCAGCGGCTCGGTCCAAGTTATGCTGGCACGGCAACCGGGTTCACTTCGCCGTTTACGGTGGACCAGCTTGGGCAAACGTTCGAGACGAAGATCTGGTCGGCGAAACCTAAACAAAAGTGGTTCAAAGCGTCTGAATAGTTGGTAGTGGCATTTTCTTGGATTCCCCATGCTTTTATTTTGAATTGTCTTCACAGCCGGGTGGCGTTTTATGCTTGGCGGATTATATTTATACCTTTGCGCTGGTGTGTATATATATGAGTCTTATCTGGATAAACCATTAGTACGTGATCTACTGAAGAATCCACACATATTCCATGTCGAAATCGGTGCACACGGATGGGTAAGTAGTACGGTCTTTTCCCGTAGCGCTTCCATGCCGGAGGAAAGGACCCTCTGCTCTCGCTTCGCGTAAGTCACCGAATCCCCGAAATCTCCGACGAACACCCCCTCAAAGACTCTATCTCCAGACTAAACATGAGCATTACGCAAATCAACTTTCGGCCTATTTTCGGGGCCTTTTAGTGCACCTAGCCCGACGATGGTTTGGAACCCCCACCCTCGCCTGCTGCGGATCCCACCCTGTCCCAGCCATGACTAGTAGTGCCAACAGCTGAGGTTTTCGGTGGCAGAATCTCCTTATACGAGGAGGACGATGGGAGAAGATTGGTGGTCCAGTGTTCCTGATATAAAGCTATATGAGTATCAATACTCTTATGGATACATGAGAACTAACTTACCCGATGGAAATATATTCCTTCCCAGGATACTAAGTGCTCCTATACGCAAAGCGACAACCTTTGCAGTATCTCCAAGAATCCCAGTCATCACTATCACTAGGAGATGAAATACTCAAACAAGCTCGACTTTCCCATGACCTGCAAGATGTCCTCATCCTTCCGACTCATCCCTGTCACCGACGATCGGGCATACGGAAAGCGAGGAATGGCACCGCCGTTATAACAATGGTCGAACGCCTTTCAATTATCGCTCCATCACTCATATCCAACACGGTCTTTGCAAGTATGCAGGCCGTTGTCTTCAAAGGACTTTTCGAGGTTGCTCTCGAGGAGCGTCCCATTCCTCAGATCCAGGATCCCACCGACGTGATCGTCAAAGTACGCTACACGGCACTATGTGGGAGGCAAGTATCCAAAATGCCTAAAACATTCAGAATCTCTACTAACACTCTGGAGTATATAGTGAACTCCACGTCTTCCGCGGTCACCAGCCGTCCACGACCGGCTTCATCATGGGCCACGAATTCACCGGAGAAATTGTCGAAACTGGCTCAGAAGTCCACAATTTCCATACAGGCGACCTAATCGTCTCGCCATTTACCGTGAGCTGCGGGGAATGCTTCTACTGCGTGCGGGGCTGTTCGTCTCGCTGTGCTAAATGCCTACTCTACGGCTGTCCTATCCTTGACGGCGGACAGGCGGATTACGTCCGTGTCCCGTTGGCAGACTCGACGCTGGTCGCTGCACCGAAGGACATCGATGAGAAGAAACTTGTCCTGATGGCGGATATATTTCCTACTGGGTATTATGCCGCTAACAATGCATTTAAGGGTATGGATGACGCCACAGTGCAGGAAAGTACGGTGATCCTGTTTGGGTGTGGGCCGGTAGGGATTTGTGCTTTGATCAGTGCACTGGAGTATCGGCCGAAGCATCTTATTGCGATCGATAGTGTTCCGGATCGATTGGACTTGGCGGGACGGTTGGGTGCTGAGCCGTGGAATTTCCAGACGCAGGCAGATGGGCTAAGGGAGAGGGTGAAGGAGTTGACCGAGGGGAGAGGAGCTGATGTGGCAATTGAGGTGGTGGGACATAGTAGTGCCTTGGCTATGGCGTTTGAGATGTTACGGCCTTGGGGACGGATTTCGAGTGTGGGAGTGCATTTTGGCGAGATTCCATGGACGGGCTTTCAGGCTTTCAGCAAGAACCTCCAGATTGAGATGGGGCGGTGTCCGGTCCGGAGTAGGTGAATTCTTCCTTGGGTGTGATATAGGATGCTGATATGCATAGGCACTTTTGAGGATGCGCTGAAGCTGTTGGTTCAGAAGCAGGATACTCTCGAGTAAGTTCGGTGGTCGTATGCGGGATGGATATATTTTACTGACGATCATGCGTCTAGTTTCATGGTGACTGACGTGCGACCACTCTCGACTGCTGTCACAGCGTAAGCTCATGTTTCTGATGCTATATGGAAAGATGCTAATAAATAGTAGATACGACGATTTCAACCATATGCGATCGCAGAAGATAATTTTCGAGGGCGGAAAGTAAGCGTTTCTTAGCGGTTAGGAGTGTGTGGTGGCGGTTGTTGAATTATGCAGGAGAGTGGTTTGCATTGCATGCGTGTCCCATATCATCATTACTATTACGATTAGCAGTCAATCTCATGTTGCACGTCCATGGTGATAGCTACCAGATGCAGCATGACAATATATCCGTGGTCGGTTGTCTGTCCAAACAACCCTGATGGCCACCAAGCAGAAAGACGCGTAGGAATGCATGATACCTGTCAAGGCTGTAGACGATAAGCAAGGAAACCCACAATGACAAATGATGCGAGAAGAAGTTTATAAGCTGAATGGATCCAGGTCACATGTCGGAACCAGGCCAGCAAATACAGGCCTAGTCTCCCCAAGGCTACGCATCTTTCCACTTCCCCACCCTTCTCCCACTACTTTCGACTAACATGAAAGTGCTACAACAGGTATGATATTGTTTTGGTAGCCAGTACTGACCTTAACGGATGTGTCATTAGGCTTTCCTGCTTCAAAATGTCCCTTGAAAATCAATGTATGGCAGCAATGGCGCCAGCTACTACAGGGAAGCTATAGGCAAAGTGAGACACCCAAGGTGAACCGCAATAACTACAGTGAGTTTGACATCTGAAGGGAGTGGATAGCAAATTTTTCCAATCTATAAAAGGAAACATGTGCTAACACTCAATTCTCATGCAGTAGCTAGCTTTCCTTGAGCAAGAGCCAGTCGATCGCGGTGCCACTACTCCCGTTAGCATATATTTATCCCAAGCGATCATTCAATCCGAAGAGCCTACCTTCCCACATGAGATTGGCTCGTAAAGAGCTGGATGCTCCTCATCGACACAGGACGGTACAACCTGGCACACCGTCTCGGGATTGAACCCGAAGAAAAACGGCATCGAATAGCGCGAAGCGCTCTGCCGATTATATACTCTGTGCACGGTGGATCTGAACCGGTTATTGGATAGGCGCTGCAGGAAATCTCCAATATTGACGACAAGTGTGCCCGGGATGGGACGAGCGTCTAACCATTCGTCAGAGGATGACAAAACTTGCAGACCTCCCGACATGTCCTGCCAGAGTAGTGTGAAGCATTGGATGTCTGTATGTGAGCCGATGCCGACGTCTATGCTCTCTCCCTTGAGTTCAGGTTCCGGAATACCGGGGTAGTGGATGTAAAGGCCATCGGCGCCGGGATGGGTGACGACGCTATCGAAATAGTCCTCGGAAAGGTCCAAGGCCAGAGCGAAAATACGCACCAATTTTCTTGCCAAGGCCAATCGTGCTTGCCAGAAAGAAATGGTGATTTCGCGAAAGGTTGGGAGATGCGCGGTCCCAGCCCAGAGGGGCGAGTCATCCCAGATACGAGCTTCCGGGGTGTCTGGTCCTGTAGAGGGGTCATTGCGGGCATTGTACCGAAGGGAAAAGGTTTCTTTCCGATCTGTCACTGAAAGTTAATGACTGTGACGCCCTACTTGCTGGGAGTTTGACCCTTTGTTTCAGATTTGTTCACCTGCGTAGTTCCGACCGCGTGGTATCCATCCATATGCAGCAGCTTGAAGTTGGATACCTTTTCTTTCTCCTCCTCTGGCTGATGGAAAAAGGCTTTGGCTTGCGTGAGAGCGCTGGCGATCAGGTCCTCTGAAATCCCGTGATTCTTAATGTAGAAGAAACCCGTATTCTGGGCAGCAGTACGGATCTTTCCGGCGATTACAGTGCGTGAATCCAGATCGCCATCAATACCAACAAGGTCGATAACAGGAATCTCATCGTCGCTCGGGGGGCGGGGAGGGGCAGTTGATACCCTGCGGTATTCCGGTCCGTTGAGCGTCAACAGCTCGACATGGGTATATTGGGGCCTAGCCATGGCAGTCATAGTAGTGGCCATCTGCGCGATCGCTTTCCTTTGCTTTAATCTGGCCTTGTAAGGCTATTTGTCCACTGTGCCTCCTTGGTGCTGCATAACAGTGATAATATATCGCCGATGGTGTGCTTCCGCGGTAATCCCCGCAATCTGCTGGGCGGGGATAACGGTGGAGGCCGAATCATTGATAAGCATCGCGATACAGACCCAACCGCCTCATTGGCCCGAGCTAAAAAATGGCCGGCACAAGGAGAGCCCAGGTTTGCCCAGATGATAAAGGAACCTATTCAAGCCGTTTTAGGTCCAGCCAAGAGATAAGGTGTCTGACCGCTACAGAATCATGGCGCTTCTTATCGGCCCACGTGGACGAGTGATTAAATGCGGCCGACGGCCAGCATCGATCTTCATCAAACCGCAGATCTTAGTGTCGTCAACATGAGTTCCATGTTGGAAGGGATCCATGAGCGCTTGCTTGTGAAAAGTGTGGACCAGAATGGTAACATCCGACCTGTGGGAGTTCTTGATAATGATTCCATCCGACCAACGCCAACTAGAGACCGGAAGTGGACGCGTCTAACATACTTCTTCTTCTGGTTCTCTGCCACGGCCAATGTGAGCAACTTGTACGCCTCAAGCACGGGCGTATCCATGGGATTGACTATGTGGGAGGCCATTGCCTGCTCGTTTGCAGGCCAGTTCCTCGCAGGGTGCCTGATGGCACTCAATGGGCGTGCTGGTGCTGTGTACCGAATCCCATTCCCAGTCTTGTGTCGATCGAGCTTTGGTCCCTGGGGAGCCTTCTGGCCAACTTTTAATCGGGCGGCAATGAGTATAGTCTGGAACGGCGTCAATGTTACGCAAGGAGCTCAGTGTCTATAGTAAGTATTGCGAATTTTTCCGATGCACATGACTGACATTGACCCAGTGTTTTCCTCCATGCAATTTTCCCATCAATTGCTCGCATCCCCGATAAGATGGGACCAAAGTCAGCCTTGTCCTCTGCCCAGATGATATGCTTTCTCGTTTACTGGTAAGTGCCGAGTCCACTAGAGAGCTGTGGGGCGCTAATAGGTGATAGGCTTATCAACTGCGCATTCCTCGTGGTTCCTGTGCCGAAGATGAAGAAGCTAATCTACATCAAAGTAGTCGTCTATTATGGCGGTGCTTTCGCAATGTTAGCCTGGGTAGTACGCCAGGCTGGAGGTAACCCTCCCGCCCTGCACGAACCTTCGGCCATCCATGGAAGGGCCAAGAGCTGGCTTATATGCAAGTTTCTGTTCCTCGGACTGGCCAGCTGCGGGACCTTCATTTCCAATGCCGCGGACCTTCAGCGATACGCAAGAAAGCCTAACGACGTAATCCTAGCACAGCTCATCAGCTTTCCGCTCTCTGGGTTACTAGTGGCCGTCATCGGTAATATCATTGCTGGGTGTAGCAGAAGTATATTTGGGGAGGTACGTGCCATTATTTCTGATGCCTCTGCATATAGGCCATATACTAAGGAAAGCAGCTGATATGGAATCCCTTGACCTTTTTGGACAAACTGATGGAGGGAGAAAGATACACGCCGGGAAACCGGGCTGCTTGTGCGTTCATTTCATTGGCATTTGTGTACTCGACTGTCTTTTCCGCTATTTTCGAGAACTCGATTCCGTAAGTATCCTGGAGCTCTAATACAGTATCTTTGACTGATTGTTGCTTTTATGCAGTGCTGGAAATGACATTGCAGCTTTACTGCCTCGCTACATAACCGTTAAGCGTGGCTTCTTTATTTGTGCTAGTGAGTATCGACCCACCAAGTCAAGTCTTGCAGTCACTAAGATCATCTAGTTCTCTCCTACGCTATCTGTCCATGGTATCTCCTTGCCACAGCGGCCGTATTCATCAACTTTCTCTCTTCCTATCAGATATTTCTCTCTGCTATCGCTGGGGTTTTGATATGCGACTACTACATGATTCGAAGAGGATGGCTCGACATTCCGGCTTTATATACATCGCGCACCGATGGCGTCTACTATTTCTTCCACGGATTCAATTTACGCGGATTCGGTGCCTATCTTGTAGCAGTTGCGCCAAACTTCTATGGTTTTTTGCACGAGATGGGCGTCAAGGCACCTTTGGGAATACAGCGGTTTTACTTTGTCGCGTACCCTGTCGGCCTTCTCATTGCATTCGGGATGTATTATCTCGCATGCCTGGCGTGGCCTCCCGCTAAGATGGAAAAGACAAGCGGGTGGAAGGAGCCCAAGGAGTACTGGGACGAATTCGATCCTGATCGAATGGACGGGGTTGAGGCGGTGACCGTGCTACCCGTGGCCGTCAAAGATGAGAATGGTGCAAAGACTGCGTTAGACGCTCCATGCAAAGTTTGAACTAGCTATGAAAGACAAATTCTCTGTGAGCATTGGAACGTCTGGAATTAGTTGGTGCTACTTTCAGTGGTGCTCTACTTACATTGGCTAGGCCAAGAGCAAGTCCTGCTGCGAGGGACGGCGTAATAAGACTAAGAAATATTGAAAATGCAAGGAGAACGGGATATATCATGATCTAAAAATACCTACTCGCTCCCGTTTGGACATAATGCTTCCCCGGTCATACGGGTCCGCATCTAAAGGTTTGCTTTGGTATCGGCCACCGGCTTTCTGCGAAGCCGTGCATGAGCCTGCGAAAACGTATCATTAGCCATCGCTGCTACGGTGCTAAGGTCTAACGCCAGGGCAAACGCCGTCATTAGTGCAGCAAGTCGACGTTTCTTCCCAGGTCCACTGCACTTCATGATGTCAAGAGCCTCACGCTGAGGACCCAGGTGGGTGCCTCCGCCAACTACTCCCACCGGAAGTGACGGAATATACAGTGACAGAGTCAGAACTTTCGTCTCGTAGTTATATTCAGGCGTCAGCTGAGCCCAACACGACTCAGCGATGCTGGCAACGTCCTGCCCGGTGGCGATGAAGATAGCCGTCACAATGTTCATCGGGTTTCCCGCAAAGCCGTACCCGCCTTGTCGCACAGCCGCAGTTTGCGCACGACTTAAACCCTGGTAGATGGTTTCGGTTGAGCATCCCAGCAGTTCTTCGGCTACCTCGTTGGTGACTATCCCCCATGCCAGGGATTCGACGCCGTGTGGTTCCTTTGTATGTGACCAGCTGGCTCTCTTTTCCGCGGACATGCCCCCTTCGAATTGGAAATTGCGGATTTTCAGCTCCTCCCTGAGGGGAGTGTCCAACAGCAGCCCGTGGCAGGCTCGATGGGTTGCTATGGTGGCCATATTCTGGCCGGCCGCATCGCCACATCTGTAGTTAAAACGCAGATGGGTTGCAGATCCCAGTACGGTCGGAGTTACGGATAAAAACTGAATGCGGCGACTAGTGGATTCAGCAAGCCGTTTAAATTCGCTGTGAAAGGCCGGAACTTGCTGAGCGAACGCCAACGCGTCGGCCGGCGTGTCGAATATGAACGCGGGACATCTACTCCCCAGTTAGTTTCAGATGCTTATGGACCTCGCCTTGATAGGCGGAAGGATGAATGGATGGGATTCCTTGCTTGGCCATGGCATCGTAAAGAGCAACAATGTGGATGCCCCCACTCCGGTTGAACGCCTTGCAGCCGCGACAGCAACTCGCAACTAGAGCTGCTTCGGTAGTAGCCAGCGGTGCATAGACTTCTTCACACTCCTCGCCAGCAGCGCTGGTCTCCCACACGCGCAAGGGTCCGGCCAATCTGACTGGCACTTGCACACATCCAATGGGATTCTCAATCTGAACCTTGGAGGCATCGATAGGGTGGGCGGTGATCTCCTTCAAGTCTTTTATGACTTGTTGGATTTTGGCATTTGTTTTTCTGACGGGCAAAGACATGGTAACGGTGTCTGGCGAGGGGGAAAATAATGTCAATGCTGGGATGGTCTCCAAACGCCGGAAAGGGATTGCTTGCTTAACATTTATAATATGAGCGGCTAGCCACAAATCCAACCCAAAATGGAACTTTCTGCATGCGTGCCCGCAGAAGATATTTGCTTTATCTAACCCACTAGTAGTACCACTTGCGGCGGTTCATCTAATGACATACACTCTGTTGCTGTTGTGTCACATTCTGACCCCAAAGGAAACGCACGAGTCCACCAATCACTGTCTTGATACGCATTTAGCTACGCCACACTGTACGAAGTTTGAGTGAGTGGTATAATCCGCTCTTCGAACTTCTTGATCTACGCTATTATTCTGGCTTCAATTGGCCTGCTCGGACCAGTTCGGTTAATCGGCCGGAGACGCGGACTTTCCAACTGGTTTCTCGTGGGAATTTGCTTTTTCCATTTCTTCTCTTCCCCTCTTTTCCCTTCTGTTCCCATCACTTCTTCTTCACTTTTTTTTTAATCCATCTACTGTGTTTGGGCATAGTCTGCGCAAAGAACTGGACATAATTTTCGGACAAGGTGCATATCATCTCTGCACAGCTGGTGGCAGAATCTGATTTTTAACCAAACCAACAGATTTCTGCCAAGGGTGTTCGTTCATCAGAACTCATTAGTAGTATTGAACTTACAATAGAGTTATCTGGAGGCATGTAAACTGCACACAAGAGAAAAATGTCTCTCTCAACACCTTGAATTGCATTAGTTCGACGGGTGTTGACGAAGGATACAGACACTATGTTCCGCTTTTGCATTATTCCCTCCTCTACGGCTCGGCTAACCCCAGAAGAATAAGTAGATAAATATGTTAAAATAAATACATAATCAGAACAGAAATGCAGATACATAAATACAAAGGAAGTATATAGAAAAGAAGGTAAAAAAGGAAAGTAAAGAGGAAAAGTCGGGATAGAAAGAAAGAAGCGCGAGAGTTAGCTGATAGCCCTTTCTTAACGTCGATGTGTCCGAAAGCCATTCTCTCGCCTTTAAGGTATATTGGAGCATCTTCGCTCAGGACGAAGAAGATTTATTCATCGGATCAAAATAATGGTATTTTCCTGTACGAGACTTCCTATCGTTTGCAATACTCTCAACCTTATTTCACCTTCTACAAATGAACCGACATCTTCCGACGGCCTACATAATATTGACACTCACGTCACTTTTGTGAGCATCCCTGACACGAGGTATAAATGACTCGTAAAACGCTTCTCATTTCGCAAGTGACTTTCATCACATCACCTCCTTACTCACTAGACCGTACGTGAGCAAGCACCTCCCACATCCTAGAAAGTCATCATGGAAGCTACCAACGGCTACAACCACGAAGAGTGGGAAACCTATTACGAATGGGAGCCAGAACTTGCAGCTTTCCACCAGCAGGCCCAAGACGAGCAGGACCTTATGCTCATGCACATCAGTGAGAGGGATATATGCGCCTCCGTATTATTTGGGAAGCTCATCAAGATCGAATCGCTGGACAGATTATGCGACATCCAGATCGGACTCACTGATTTCGATGATTCGATGCACTTCCTTGGACAAATTGACTTCTACCATGTCGTGGCTGAGCCGAGAGCCTGGCGCCATCAGACGGCTATTGATCAACTGTTGGTTGACCTGTGCAGGCAACTGGAAGTGTTGGTGTACATTGGTGAGTTAATCCCTTATAGCCATCTCTCAATGGGATGCTTGTTCGATTTACTAACTACCAGATAGTGGACAGTGCATTTGAGTTTAGCCCTGTGCACGCCGAGCAGATGATTCTGAACGACTATGTCAAGTGGCGCTGGTCTTTGTGCAGGGTTATGATTGATGAACTCAAATTGAGAGTGGATGATCTGGCCATGAATTTCCAGCGTTGGGCTAGAGTGACCCCTGGGGATTATGCGGATATCTTTCCTGCGAATCCCCTCGACGAGGAGAAGGAAACTAAAGCATCTGAAGCGCCGGAGGTTGAGCGACCAACTCAGATTGGGGCAGTAGCATTTAACTAAGAGCTTCATAATGGGAAGTACGGCATATCGTATCTTTACTACTATATAGCAGAACACCAGTCTGTAGACCTAATTATATTGGAAAGGCTTCTGCGGTAGGTGGATAACCCATGTGTTAATGGATGAGTATATGGCACCAGATGAATCGAACACAATTGGTATCATATACAGAACCACACGTTGGATGGAAAAGGCCGAACAGAGTGTAAGTCTAGCGGTCTCCATTTCAGCTAGATGGTCAAGGAAGAAGGAACGGAATGATTAGATAAAATATCTGAATTCTAATATCAGCTTGTTGTAATTGACTGGTATATATAATAAAATTTGTTTTATTCTAAATTATTTTCATATTTATACTAATATTTCTTCTTACTCAAATGTTCTAGAAAAAATTATAAGATCTAGTCCTTAAAATCTTCCAGGGTATAAATAGATATAGTATAATTTTTATTCAACTTACTCTTTCTGGTATTGTTATCGATTAATTATTAATTTATTAGATATTTAATATGCTAACCTTGAATGCCAAAATAGTCATATCTGACTCGTTGGGTATTTGCGCTTGGATCATAGCGGGCTAGAGCCCAATTCGGTCGAGAAAGGTCTTATAGCTGACTGAATTATCGTTGATATCGATAATGGATCTTAGCGGGGAAAGATGATTCGGGATTGTGATCTACCCATAATCAAAGGTGAAAATAAAGAGGAATAAGGCCGAGTTGTAAAGCAGGTTGATTGTGATCGAGCTCATCACCAGCAACACCCATGAAATTTTCTGTTGAGACTCATTATTGGAAAATGTCGAAAGCTGGAAAGCTCCCACATCCAACCAGCGTGGTTTTGCGTGGGCTCGGTCAACGTCAGAACGAGAGGGGGCGCCCAGAAACTGCATAGTATAGTTGCTGGCCCCGAGTAGAATCGTACTTATGATTTTGATCACCACATGCAAGCCTGTTGCCAGGTGAGCCGCACACGAGCATTGTCCGCTGTATAGCTCAGCTATCGAATCGGGGTTTCCTAATCGGTCTGCGGTATCGATTGCAACTAAGACGGCGATCCTGATGATGTTGGGGGCCAGGATTGCGGCAGTGATATAGGTGCGTGCATATCACAGCACCCCGGATCCGTTCGCGCCCTTCATCGGGCTTTGCGAGCAGAAATCGCGGAACCAACCTCGTCTACCGGCTCTCGTGTGAGCGAGGTTTCCTGTCCGACCGGGCAATGATTATAGAGCGAAATGGATCCCACCAGTGAGTTGCCGGCCGAGACATCTTCCCAGTGCTGCGGCTCGGCCGTTGTCGGCGTTCATCGCGTTGTACTAGGATACAATAACAAAGAACGGTATTCCTTGTAGTTTTCCCGGGTGACTGTGAGCAACAGCACCACACGCTTGTCGCCGGCAAACATTATTCCGGTCTCGCCCAGGCTCTCCCTCGCATCCTGCTTTCGTCTAAATCATGGATCCTTCTCATAATTCGGACTAGTGGGGGGAACAAGCAGCTACTGACAGGGGTTCATCAGGCTGGCGCGGCCTTGGCAGTGGCAGTGCATTCACTGTGTTCGTCAGCTATTTGCCATCTTATGCAGCGGGCGTAAGATCGACCGAGATATCAAAACACCTGTGGTAAGAGGACAGGGAACCATGCTGTTTACCCTCAGCATGCCTAGTTAGTAGAGCATTCGAACTTCGACTCGCTCACATAACACCAATTAGATACTAAGAATAATCAAAGCTCGCCTGGGTGTCCAAGTGCCGGCTTGATCTAGCTGAATAAAGGCTCGGTTGCTCTCGTTGCTACCTGTTTCTCTTTGCTATTGGTGTAAGCCAGATCAAGCTATTTTAGCGTGGTGCCGGTTTTGGAAGAATATGATTGGACATTAGGCACGACTCATCGCTAATGATCACCGACTAAGGCTCTTTGCTGACCGCCGTGCTGAATGGTGTATCGCATGCGCAGAGATCAATGGGGAAAGAGGGGTAAGATGACAGGGTAAGCGGATTTTAAGATGCTGTAGGGGTATACGAATCGAGTAAACACACCATGTAGTCAGCATATCGACTGAGAGATTTCCCTACAAAAGTAAAACACAGTCAAGAGACGTGCAGCTCAACGCAACGAGTCCTTCTCCAATGATCAGCTTCAGCCCAATTATAAATAAAGGCACCGCAGAATTGCAGAATAATAAGCGCGGAGGCAACGAGGGGCCCCAGGATCGAAAACACTGTGAAGCCGTACGAGGCAGACTGAAACGTGGGACTGTGCGCCAAGGCGTCGGTCGCAAGGCCCACCTGCATCGCTGTCAAGACAATTGCAATGTAGACGGTGACGCTAGCGAGCCACGAAAAGTAATCGTGGAAGAAGGCGCCATACCGATCCCACCGCGCCATATACCCGCGAAGGGGTGTTTGGTAGAGCGCGTAGATTTTATTCAAGCGACTCAGGCGCAGCTCGCCGTGAAGGAAGCGGCGGTCGATGCGGGGGTAGATGTATTTTGTGTCCAGCTGCTCTACGAATATGCGCCATGCGGACCAGGTTATCTCTGGCCGGAGTAGATGTCGGTCTTGAGCAATGCGAAAATCACTTTCGTGGGAGAGCAGGGCGGTATAGGAGAAGAGGAAGCCCAGCGCTCGTCGGTAGAGCCGTCGACGCTTGCACTCTGTCAAAGTGTTGGCTGAGCAGCCGCATTCAGGTTGGCAGCTGAGATATTCGGTCCAGAAATTTGGTTCCAAGAGGAAGAGCGGAATTGGTTTGAGGAACATCCGGCCTGACGTCCAGACGAGATGCATATCCATCTGCTCTGTGATGAAGATCTCCCGACCCAGCAGGAGCTGGTGATGTAGGGCCCGTGGTGGCAAAGGCAATCCAGCGATCCAGAGCCAATGGTGAACGGTAGTAAGCCGAGCCAGATTCAATTCCTTCTCTACGCAGGCAGCGATATTATGAGCTGCAGCGATCAAATCACCTCGGCCATCACGGTACGATGCGGGCAAGAAAGACAGGAGCTGGTCAGGGTCATGAAGAGTCGTCGTCTGCTCGAGGAGCCGGACCGAGAAGGGGGGGACCTGTTAGCAGAAGTGTTAGCAGAAGCAAGATCGAGCAGTCATTGCTGGTTTACCTGGAAGGCAGGGTCTCTAGACATTGAGTGTAGCTGTTTTGCTGCCTTTGTCTACTCTGTGCTGTGAAAGAGTTCATCTTGTTGCCTGATCCATGGGACCCCGGATTGGCGGTGAGGGCGACGACAGGGGACCTTAGCCAAATGCCCTAATCAGCTCTGCTTGTCTTTGGCAAGTCACAGCCACCGCAAACAGCCACATAAGCTGACCGAATCAACTAACTAGTTGGTTAACTAATTATAATTCTTTGATTTGTCAGAGTTTGCTATCCTGCTGCTCTAAACTCATCCCTAATCAGTCTCCGTTCAGATTACCACTCCATCCTTCGCTCATAGCTTTTAGCAAGACGTGACACATCTATTATAGTATATGTCGTCGTAACAAGTACCCTCGTCAAAATGGTTTTTTGCCTTCGCCACCGAAAGTATCCAGCCAAGCGTCCATCACCACAGGGCAGTAGTGCCCCTCCAAAAAAGCCATCCGAAGCCGAGATTAAAACTTGGTACCGAGTCGCGCTCGACAAGATCGTTGCCGCCCGTCTCGAGCAAGAATCCAGTACTGCGCAGGGGGAACCAATCTTCCTGTCTCACTACATCAGCCAAGGTCAATTCCGGCACTGGGTCATGCACACTTATGGCCATAAGTACGAATTACGCCAGCGACGAGATAGCGACGGCGGGTACGCGGCGAAAATTAGCTCGTCCAGCTTGGACCTTAACACGTACAGATACTCGCTCTTGGCGAGCTACTCGCCTCGAGTCGGCAGCTACTTTTACAGCATGATCGGCTGGACCACGCTGCCCAAGGAACGGATCGACGAGCATAGTCGGCAACTCTCAGCCTCGTTTGGGACATACGGCCTGCTGCGGAATAACTGCCACGACTTCCTGCAGCGACTGGCCGATACGATTGTGACTACGAGGGCGCCGGATTGGGCGTGGTTCCGATATAATACCGTGAGCAATTATCATTATATCCTTGCGTCGCCGCTGGATTATTGGACTATAAGTGCTGGTACGTGGCTCAAACATCTTGAGCAATCAAGGCATTATCTCGGCGGGCAAGACAGACAGAGGGTGGATGAACTTATGGTCGTACTCGAGGATCTTATCGAAGAACGCATGAAACGCTCATCAAATCAGTTATGGAATATATCAAACCCCGGAGGCGCTGACGGCAGTGGGCATGGTGGGCATGGTGGGCATGGTGGGCATGGTGGGCATGGTGGGCATGGTGGGCATGGCGGGCATGGGGGAGATGGCGGGCATGGTGGTGGGCATGGGGGAGATGGCGGCGGTGGTGGAGATGGCGGCGGTGGTGGCGGAGGATAAGACTCTTTTAGACTGGCTGACGGTCAGGTCAAGTCGGGTTAATAGCAAGTTTTATACCTTCCGGCAGGCAAACGGTCTGGTTATATATTTGAATACCTGAATGGATTAACCTGACCCACAGCTTTCTACTCCGCTATAGTAGATGTTGACAATAGTTTAGGGAAACCTTCATATTTACTTCTTTTTTATTGGTTAAAGTATCCAGCTTTATCAGGTCCCGGCAGTATAAGAAAGAATTTATTTTTATATAGCTAGAGATACGACTTGTGGTAATTTGTAAGCAATACTAATAGTTATAAGGTCTGGCTTAGGGGATTATCTGTTATGCTTGCAAAGTAATCCACCTGTAGGATTTTTTATACCTAAGCTATAGAAATTGTCTCGGTGCAAGCTTAGTACACCAGCCATAACGTTACCTCTCGCTGCCTGCCTTGACCGCCCTTCACGTGACACACAACCTACCTAAGTTTCCGCCCGCTCTCGAACCTGTGTAACTAACGTAATCGGACAGCGAACCGTCGTTCTTCTCAATAGCTACTTCCAAAAGCTAGAACTTCACCTATTTCTTTGAATTGAAATAAACATGTATAATAGAATGACTCTACTATATATAAAGAGTATAAAATACCTATAATTATGAAATACATGCAACAAAAATAGATTGAAATTTATAAACATTATGTTTCTGTACAGAACTAGATAATTATTGTAAAAAGGTTCTTTCAGTTACATATGTAGATATCTTGAATAACTTTAACATGTCGTATAGAATACTAAGTATACTTTTTTACATCTTAGTACTAGTAATACTAATTTCTAGTTAAATAGTTGAAGTTCAATTTTTTTAGTGGTAGCTATAGTGAGAAACGACGGTTCGCTGTCCGATTACGTTAGCTCTACAGCGCGAGTGAGACAGTGTGCCAAGCATCCCAGTCGTCTATATACATTCCTGAAGTCATAAATCAACATATTTACACCGTTCAAATCGCGTTCTCTTGGTATATTCCTGTCGCTAAAACACTCGTATCTATATAGCCTGTTTGACTACATGTAGAACAGCGAGGTGGCGCGCGACGGCGAGGTTGTTCCTCACCGGCTACGGATCCAGCTGGTTGGATGGGCTTGGTCTTCCTCACGAGCCTGTTGGAAAGCCTGAATTGCTTCATCAACGGTGGAAAGGTCCAGGCCTGCCATTTGGCGATAACTTCTTTTCTTCTTCTTAGCTTGACGGTCCTCTACAGCTTGTAATTAGTGGATCTTCTGCTGAAGTAGGGCTGTACGGTTGAACGCGATTTTATGATAATATAAAATAACGCAGCTTTCATCGGTGACGGAAGACTCTGCCTACGTTCACGAAGTAATTTTCCAATTGCAGATTCATGCTTTCTAAATTGCCTCGTGGTTTCGGGCGTTCTTGGCACTGTGAAAGCGGTAGTTTGAGGAATAAATTAAATCTCAAATGGGTCATACGTAAAGGCATACTATGAATTATTCAATTGGTCGAGATGCTACAGAAGTAGCCTCAGCCGTAGGAGTGGAGACCGGTAAGTGACATCATGTAGGGTTTCATGAACGAACCTGCATTCTTCTTTGTAGGAAGCTCTCGAGTAGGCTCACTGATTATCGGTGACCCGGTAAGAGCCGCCAGTTGGTGCTGTATATCCGGATACTTCAAGAGATACTGATGACTGTAGATAAACTTCGTGATACTTTCCGTTACCAATATTCTTCTCTCCTGGCTCCTTTATTTTACTCTCATGTGCCTGAGACTGGTGTCAATCAGACTTTTCACATTCATATCCACTCAGGTACTTCCTACGTCAAGCGCAGACATAGAAGGCCACCAATGGCTGCATGCAATTGGTATCAGTGAGGCGTGCCATGATTGGGAGTCGCTCTGTGACAACCTCCACAATGAGATCGTAATCGACCAAACACTTCTTCTATCCAGTATCTTTCATGACGCAGAATGCGTCAAAGCTCGCCTGGCAAGTTTTGTCAAAATCCAGGTATATCGAACACAGCACCAAGCCGATACCACCCACAGAAAATTCACCAGGATTGTGTCCAAACTTACGGACTTGGGATTTTTGCAGGTGTCGGAGCAGGAGAAAGCGTGGCCTCACCAGTTGGCTATCCACCATCAGCTGGCTGACCTGGACCGGTATCTTCGGGATATAGAGTCTCGGTGCGACCCCCTTCCACTCCTTTTTCTTTCCTCTGCCTACAAGCCCTATTTCATGTTACAGATGACGAATATCTTTTTTCAGTGACACCAACCCGTTTATAGTCTGGTGTGCCCGTCGGAGCTTGCCCTGGGACTACGAGAATGCTATTGCCAATTGTCAGTCTCTTGCATGGCGCTGGTATATGTGCGCTGAGATGATCGAAGATCTTGATCGGCGCGTCACCGTTTTGTCCTTTTCTTTTCGTACGTGGCTTGATAAGGACATGACTATGCATACATGGTGGCCTTCGTTGGATGTTTGAATATCCTGTGGCATGGTCTTCGAGGAAGTTTGAAACAGTAATGTTGAGTCTGTTGGTCGAGTCGACGACGTAGTTTTACTAATTGATGATTTGCGGGTCTAGCAGAGTATTTCGTTTGAATATCCCAGGATACGTAATATATGGATCGTAATGTCAGGTGCTGAAGTGTACCTTTGACAAACTGATGTCCCGATTGAAGTTCCTGCGAGTCTCGGTATCGCCCACATCCGAGGACACCACAGCCGCAAAGTTTTTAGTGTCCTATAAGTGCAATGTTCGACATAATGTAACTGCTACTTAAGTTGCCATATCTTAGCTGCTCTCTTCTAATTATTATCGGGCAAGTCCGGCTAGCCATAGCCTATGTGAGGGTTTCAGCGGGAACTCCCTGTCCTTCTCTTATTGTTTCATGGATGTTCATGACATTATGAGGGATGACTCATTCCAGGGCAATACCAACGCTGCAGCTTCCCAATAAACAACTGGGGAATCCCTTCTTTTCACGGAACATTTGATATTTATACTAAACTTATAGAGGCGACTGGTAGAAGCTACTTCCCGGTGAGGTTGCGGTGCATAAACTTTGTCTAGAGCCATACGGAGAATTCATCACATATTTAGGAACCCCCCGTCAACACAATTGCTGAGGAGCCTGCCAGTCATAGATTCGCCACCTTCTCCAAGCATAAATAGGACCTCATGTCCCCTCCCCTTGCACTTTCCTTCATCACACTGCTCAACGGTGCTTGGCTGACCATGATGCAGCTACACAGAAAGTTGTGCGCTTCTAAACACCTCATCAGTTAGTCAATAAGCCCATTATTTACATTGATATGGCTCTAACGATGGAGGTTTCACAGAGTGCATCTGAATAGTTTAGTGGGCAGCATGGAAATGCTCTGGCACTCTTTTGCAGTTCTTGTGTCTCTCCTTGTTTTCCTTTGTTTTGGGG